CCCCCCCCCCGGGGGGGGGGGGGGATAGCAATGCCACAATCCCTTGTCTCCATTCTCTTCTCAGGATCTTGGGCATGCACGCACACACGCCTGGCCTGAATTTAAGCCACCAGGTCCAGGACTCGAACTGCAGTTGAGTACATGGGAGTCCGGCGACATAGCCATTACTATTTTTTTATGTACCCTAATTCTGATGGTATCAGAAATTGCCTCAATTTTTCATGAAGGTTCTCTACCTCCCGTGCATGGAGATACCTAGAGTTCATGGTCTACACAGATAGAAGTAGAAAGGAAAGGATCTATAAAAAGGATCCCCTAAGGAAAAAAATACTGTCATAATATACAATAAAAGATTTACGTATCTATTACCAACCTGTCCTGTTGTCTTCTGGGGAACCAGCCACAAATGGGAGTGGAGAAAGTAACGGGAGAGCTTATCAGGAAGTGTTGACACAACACAAACACGGACGGCGGGCAGCACACGGAGTGCGGAAACCACAATTACACCATTCTAGATTTGGATGCACTTGCACTTTCAAACTTCCAGATGGAAAAGTCGGTGTGGAGGTTTGACACCAAAATCTCTAAAGCTCACTCCCTTCGACAAGCCTGATGAAAAGTGGGAAGGGAAAGCACCGGGCACACTGGATACAAATCTTAAATCAGCATTAAAGCTCTCGGAGGAAAGTTTCCCCATCACTGCATATTTTTTTCAATAACAAAGATGTTGTCAGAAATGACAATTTTTTGTGTCCCCTGATGATGCCTTGCTAGCATTTGGTTATAAGCCATAAAGCAGGAATAATTTCAGCCTGTCAGGAGTCTCGCTAATGCCCAGTTTTCCCCTAGAGAGAATTCCTGTCAAATCTAATGAGAGCTCCAAAGGCCCTCTCTACAATATAATGAGCACTTAGGCCATGCTGGTGATCAGGCGGCAAAAAGCATCAATTTGAGCCTGGCTACACCCTGGGGGCCAGACGTCACCAGTTTTAATAAGAATTATGATTACTAGCTGCACCAAATGCCTCCTCAGAACTTATTATTAATGTGTGACATTCAGAAGGATGTTTTTCAAATGTAAGACCACTTTAAACTGAATTATAGCACTCCTTTCCACACCACTCTAGTTAAGGGTCTGTCAGCATTTACAATATAAACTAAATTTCAGGGAGCTTAATACCCTCCCCTGAAGAACAGCTTTTTCACATTTTTCAAATTACTGAGCCAATTATACACAGTATATTATTATTGCATATAGGATCATGGACAAACAACACATAGGCACAAATGCCCAACATGGCACAGAAACTCATCAGAAAACTATTTTCACATCATGAGGCTTCTAACTCTATCCCATCTCCTTTCTTCCCACACATGAAAGAAGAGGTTGCCCCACCATGTAACCTAGAAAAATTCAGGAGAATTACACTCTTTGTCTCCCAATAAACCCAGCACCAGTGTGCAACACCATGCACGCATCAGTGATGTTCCCTTGTAAGAGCTGGTGAGGTTACAACACCCTTTGAATATGGGGGTTTAGGAAACAGCTTAGTCTCCTCTTATTCTCCAGAAAATCTGTTACCAAAACGAAGAAACAAACCAAAAACAAACCACACCCTTCGAAGTAATTAAAAAAAAAAAACCGCACACACACACACACACACACACACACACACAGTGACAGATTAGGACTCCCAGGCCAAGTTCATTTGCATAATTCATTTAAATGACCATAGATGTTCGCCATAGATCTTCTAACCCATTTACTATCAACGGATGAGGCCGGCAGATGACATGGTGATTAAGGGTGCTGAACGCCCACATTGCCAACCATGGTTCGAGTCCCAGACCTCATGGAGGCTTGCTTTCTCACTTTCTCTCTCTCTCTCTCTGTCCCTCTCAGATCTAATTAAAATAAGTAAATAAATAAATAAGGTTAAATAAAAATAATTAAAAGAATTAAGAGTCCAGGGACATTCATGACTTTATGAAAGATATATGGCTAAATGACAGGGAGCCATCCGTCTTCTGAATGGGTGCCAAGTTCTTGCTAATATCCCTTTCTAAATCATATCAGGACGCACTTTTGATCTTGTGGGAATGTATACAAAAATCAGAGAAAATTGTGACCCACAGCATGTGAGGGAATATAATTATGTCCCTAAGAACAAGATCACCAGCATTTTGCATCCAGACCCAAATGGATATTTCACATAAAGCTTTTATAAGGAAGAGAAAAATTCTTTTTTTTTTTTTTGGAGAGGTTTTTCGCCATAAGGCGTGTGCGCTCGCCAGACAGGCAGAGAGAGATATCAACAAGTTACAACTGCCACAATAAGGCACTAGCCATTGAAGCACAAAAAACAAAAGCCCAAACCTAACACAGACTAGGCTACCAACTTTGCAAACCAGTGTAAAATCAGCATTTTTAAAGGTCCAATTATAATATTAAAGAAAGGCCCTGAACTTAACTCTCTCTTTCCAAACACGTATCTAAGGACAGATCTAAAGTACACGATGATAACTTAACATTATGAAATCTATGATGAATTAAAAATCAAAGAGTGCAGAGTTACAAAAGCAGAATTCAACTCTGAAATACACTTGCTTAATGAAAGTCTTTGAATATAAGGAAGATCTGAAGGCTGAACTAATCAATTTCTCCACTGTGCCCTGGCCGGTCAGCCATGCTCTTTAATTTAATGAAACAAGGGTTTGAGATGAAATAGCACATATACATCAAGTAAGAATTGTATTGTTGCACTTTGAAATGTGTCCAACTGTGCAACTTCATCTGATGATAATTTTTTAAGAGGCAATCGATTTCTAAAAGACTTATTGTACCAGCGTCTTGATGAAAAAGTGAATGTCAGCATATCTCCAGAATACTTACACCCTGCCATTAATGCTTTCTTTGGCAGACAATGACTACTCAATCGAGGGTCCTCTGGGCTGAGCAATCATTTAGCTTTTCTTCTCTTATGAGGTCCTTAGTGCCTTGTTCCAGCTCAATACTCTTTTTATACACCATTATAGTAGCCATAAGTGTGAATTTTATGGGAACTTGCAAACTCATAGTCATAGCTAGAGCTTTCCAGTCACTAATCTTTTCATGCTTTTAAAACCACTAGGACTGAAGCAACTCCCAACATGTGCTGAGGTCATAAAAGGATGCTTTTTTCACCTCAAAACCTGCATCAACTGAGAAATTTTTGAAGAAATGTTTGCTAATAAGCCCCTAATCCTGAGTGTGGCCTGATGCAGTCCCAAAGCACACAGCACTCCGCAGTTAGTCATATACCTCTTTTGACCTGATGAAAGAAATTCTGGAATACCTTTCCCCACCTCCCACTGGTCCATACTTCCTTCCAAAACAGCACAAAAACAGGAACTATTCTGAACTTCAGCAATTCTATGGGAAATTCTCCTCTTTCAATAGGAGAATCAAACTAGCCAGGTGGAAAAGTAAACTCAGTCTCCTTTCCTACCTGCCTAAAAACAGGCTCATTTATATCTCCAAAGCACCTCTCACCTAGGCTTTTAAACACCCTCTAACAGTCTAGAAGCAACCTTTGCAGAGGAACCCTGCCAAGGATGAGATGGAAACAAAGGCAGAAAAAGAGCTTACAGGCCCCCACCCCCACAGCCCACTGCCGAGGACAAATCTGGTACTGTAACAACATATGAACAGCTCTCTCACGTCGACATGAGATTTAACTAAAGCTTACCTGTTTATGCATTTCAATGTTTAATCCATATGACATTTCATAATACTGTAAAGAGAAGAACCAAGCGTTTCATTAACTCGCGTTTTTGTTATGCTGAGAACACATTATTCGCTAATATTATATGGAAAGGAAAAAGTCTCATTTTTGATACCTACCATCACATAATGCCTCTGCATTTCTGTCTTTTCACTTGCCAGTTTCTCACATTCCAATTTAAGGCTATGAAAACAAAACAGGCAACTTAATGTAAACATTATGTCACTTGTTTTAACATCTGCCTCACATATTTGACTTCAAGTAAAAATACAGACCAATTGGGAAAAACCATGAACTACCTAGGTAAACATCCAAAAGCTTTTTGTCCTTGGATTTAACAGGGAGAAGAAATAAGGTGAACTGTACATTCAGGGTATCTAGCTATTCAACTACCCTTTCTTTTTTCCTTCTTGGTGCATACCTGTTCAGATGCCAAGAATGAAAAATCTGTCAAAAGCTCATGGTCATCCATCTGTTCCTTACTTCCCTGCATCAGTGAGCTTCACTGGACTCCACCAAACCTGGCCTTTGCACAATCAGTCTCAGGAAGAGGCCTTAACACCTTTACCAACTCAGTCTCTCAGTTTAAAAATCCTAGTTACTTCTACAATGGTGGGTCCCCTTCATAACCTTTGGTTTTTAAATCCCTGCCAAAATACGTCAAGTAGCTATTGCAGTGAAGTAAGCTGAAGTTGTCCCTGCTAGGCAAATACTGGTGTGAGTAAGTATGCCCCAAGCTCTAGAGATAATATCTACAAGTAGACAAAAGGTCAATAACCAAAAAGCCCATGACAAAATAAGAACATTCGCACCCTAGCCACTTTTAGCCTCTTCTGCATGCTTTTTCTCAAGCAAGACAAAAGGAAAAATGGCCTAACAGAGTTATTTCCTTTTCTTTACTCTTTAAAGATCTTAACTGGCTTCATCTGCAATTCTGAATTGGGCAACACCTGATTCCATAAATAGAGTAGGTCTTCACTGCCATCAGTTATTTCTTAGTTTCAATTGGCTACCGAGTCCTAAGAGCAGGAAAGAAATTAATCTTTGTGGGACATTCACTATAGACAGGGCAGTTTACACATTAAGTTTTCAAGGATCAATTCTATGAAGGTACATATCGCCATGTCAGGAAACTAAGGCTGAGATGGATATAAAGGTGACTTCACCTCCTACCCAAACCAATCCAGAACGATGCCAAAACAGATGAGCCTGCCAGTGCCCTGCACTGTCCACCCCCCTCATCATCAACGATGGCCATGGCCAAAAGCACCCCGCCTTCCATGACGGACTTTGCATCAGGGAATCCAATTTTCTAGGATGGCAAACAGCGATTTCGACATGGCTTTGCTTCCCTGAACCCGTACTCCTGGGCTGAGGTATCGATTGAACCAACGTCTCAACTCAGCGTGTTGCAAAATAAATAAATGAACTGCAAATATTGACGGTTCTCATGCAACTCCTAAATACACGAAAAAGGACTCCCTGGAACAGTGGCGAACGGGCAAAAGGGAAACAATGGGAGGAGGAGGAGACAAGCAAAGAGGCGGCCCGGGAAGAGCCAGGAAAGGGGGTAACGTGAATGACAGGTCTTAACTGCGACTCCACACGCCACCGCCTGGACGCAAGAACCAAGTACAGCCGCCGCCACTAGACTAGGCGAGTACGGCCACCGGGCCGCCGGGGCGACCACTGGCCCACGGCGGCAGGACACGCACCTGTGATACTGTGCCTGCAGGAACTGAAATTCCTCTTTAATCCGGTCCAGGGACTCCGGTATGGTGAACTTGAAGGGCTGGCCTGCAGCCTGGTGCGGCGTCTGGAGCGATCAGCGAAAGGGACCCAGGGACAGGGATGCGGGCGGATGGATAAAGCAGTAAGTCAGCGGAGGGAGCAATGAGTGGTGGGACATAAAAAATAAAGTTAGAAGTGGCGGAAAACGGAGCCCCAAACTCGAGTTTGCGCTTCATTGCGCGGACGGGAAAAACGGACCTCTTCCTGACCCCCATTTCTAAGGAGGTTCGAAAACTTCCAGTCTCCAGGGAGGATCCCGCTAAGTGCGCCGGGGTCACTGGTCGGAAGGAAGGGGCTCCCCGGCAGCCTCAGAGGACCGGGATAGACTGCCGTCGTCGCCAACCCCTCCCCCACGGGGCCGATAATGACCCCGGGGACAAGAGAAAAACAACTCCCAAACGCTCGCCATTCCCAAAGTCGCCGAAGCCACCTCCGGGAGCTCTGGGAAGGGGGCCGCACAGACATGTAAATAGGCGAGACAAGAAACAAAGAAGGGGGGGCGACCAATCCATCTAGGGAGAAGGTGGAGGATGTGGCTAAGACAGTAAGCCCCAGCCTCCCTCGACGCCCCAGTCCGCCCAGTCGAGGAGAGAAAGAGTCCAGAAAAATGGGGGTGGGGGGTTGAGAGTTTCATATCACTCCCCACCCGAAGTGGGGGAGGGCACCGGACCTCCCCAGACTTGCACCGCTGTCGGTGTTGGGGGGTTGTTCTCCGGATTGCAGCAGTCCCCGCGGTACAGGAAAAGCGCCTCCCCAACCTACGCGCCTGCCCCCTGCCCACCCGGCCGCGCCTCACCGGGTGCCGGCTCTGCGGGAACATCGCTCTGGCGGCGGCCGCGGCTCTTTTCCTGGGCAACTCAATTCTCCGCTCAATTTCCAACTTTAATCCCGCCGAGGGAAATTAAGCCA